ATATAAAGGATATAATATATAGGAAATATCAAGCAAATATTAATGTTAAAATATTTTTTTTAGATCTTAAATATTTATTGAATTTTATTACTTAATTATAAAATAAAAATTTTTGAATATTATTTTGCTAAAATAATTAGAATTATCTAGAATCATCTTATAAATATTTAATCATGTGATTGTAGATATTTTATTGCATTTATATGTATAACTGTTTATATGCGCGTGGTATTAATATTTATAAATAAATTATTTTTTAGCTTTAAATGTTATTACAGTCTTTGTATGAAACATCGAATCGAATAATTGTAAATTTTTTTCAATATATTTTTTTCACTGAACAACGTATCGGATATAAATATGCCTATTCATTAAAATTATGTTTAGAAAAATTAAGTACACGAGCAAATGAAACACTTAGATCAGTTCTTAAATTATCTTGTAATTTTTCCACATTTAGAATAATCTGGTTTAAAAGTAAATGCGAAACCAGGAAGAAGGACGATGCCCATCTCATAATGTTCTAACGCAACTGCGTCTAGCGTTACATAAACTGTTCCAAATTAATTAAGATGCTTCATTAAGTCTAATGAATATACAGGCCGTGTGTTGCCGTAGCGAGAAACTTCTCCGAGAAAACTATGATTTTATCACGGGAAACATATTGCATATTCAAGTGAAATTTACCAGAAAACTAACTGATTTTCTGACTTTTACCGATCAAATAAAGAATGAAATTTAGAAAAAAAAATAACAATTATACCATTCGAGATTATTTCCACCAGGAATTTGTTTTGAGATTCAACAAAATTATTAAATTAAAATTATCAAATTATATCTTTAATTAATACTAGAATTATTAGTAAAAATATGCATATGCTGGTCTTCTATTATATTTAATTATATATTTAATTATATATTATTATTATATTTATCATTATGGGAATTATGGATTTGTACAAATATTGGTAATTTAAAACAATCAATTATTGTATGTATAATCAAATTTTAATTTATATATTTATATAATTATTATATTATTATATTATATTGCATTGTGAAATATTGTGCAGGTTATATGAAGCGTATCTCGTTCGACACGAATCAAGTATTTTTATCTTAGCCAAATTCGACACAGATATAATCTAATATTCATTTTCTTCCGCTCAAGTTTTATTTCTTGCCAAGCTTGCCAAACTTTCGACAATTTACATTTATCGCAATATGTATGGTACAAATTAAAGATTTTTCCCATCAACGAATGTGATCTTCAGCGAGTAATCAATTCTGGTAAAGGCAAGAATTATGTTTAACAAGATTGGCGAGTTTCATTCGAGTTCGAGCCACGTTCTATCAATGCGCAACGGGAATCATTCATATATCGTGACATCAATTTGCGTGAATGCAAATCCAGTTTATCATTAACATAATCTGATGTCCACCACAAGAGATTGTCATTCCTTCTTGTCTGGCTTACATAAGAAAGAAAGTAACGAGAAGTATGCATCGTGGGACAATCGAGAATAGATGACAAAGGGATGAAAGAATGTAATGGTGAATCATTTTCAATGATGTTACGATGTTATAAAAATATTACTACGATACAAAATGTTGATCCACATTCGTGGAATAAAAGCACGCGATACTCTACTCTTTCATGGATTTTTTGTCTTTCGTGTCATCTTTACATTTTCATTTCCATTATTTTGAAACCACAAACAAATTATTATGATATAATACTTCCCTTTGAATGAAATAATTTTATTGTAAAATATTTCGTCGACTTTAATCGCGAGATATTCGTATTAAATAAGACGAAACATTTTGTGTGAGATAGATCATGGTCAGATTCTTTCGGATAAGAAGTAGGTCAGGATGATTCAAACTTTATAGGATAGAAACGAGGTTTATAGAGGATGGATAGCGAATGAAATTTTCTCCGTTTTACTTATAACTTAATTCATAGTACGTAGTCGATACATTTTCAAAAACGATTTATTCGAAAAAGAAATTTTGTATAAAAAAATGTAATTTTTTATGTATCTTATTCTAAATAAATTAATAGAAATTAATTAATCTATAAAATTTAAAAGAATTTAAGAAATTTTCGTCAATGAGTCTACAAGGTTAAATTTATATAATATAATATATAATATATATAAATGCGAGAATATCCCTACTCAACTCACAAATAAGTGTTTGCGACACTAGCGCCACTAATATACCGGCCTTCCGATATTAATTCATTAAACACGATACCAAGAACAAGTTTCACAAAGCGGATTTATTTCACAAGCGTTACAGAAATTTTTGTCGAGCATGCTTCCCAGGAATACATCACCGATGGAACCATACACCGGTGAATCTTAACGCTGACTTGATATCGAGGTTGCTTACGAATGGCGAACCAATTATCCGCGTCGCGTTTAATACGTATATGCGTATATGGTAGAGAACGCGGGAAGAAAGAGAGAGAAATAGAGAGAGAGAGAGAGAAAGAAAGAAAGAAATATATCGTATCTGTTCACAAGACGGTATCGTAAAATAAGCTTCGTGGGGGCCAGCCTTATGCACCAATAAGGCAACATTCTGACCAGGTCAATGCTTACTGGTTTTGTATTTCAACTCGTTCCCGCGTCTCTCGCTATTTCAGCGATCACCGCTTCGGGCGAAATGATTATGTCTATACGTTAATATATATTTATGTATTATAGAAGGACTCTCTTGGGTATAGATCTCTTTCGATATATCCTGATTCACGATTCCTCTCCGATCATCTTTTCGAGAATATTATCCCTATCGTTTGCCACCTTTCGAAATGATCATTTCAATTCTTACTACAAATAGCGATGGGATCGAATTCGATATACGTATACAAATTTAAATAAAAAAAGATATAAAGGATTTATTTCATAATAAGATTCGAATATTATTAAAATAAAATAAAATATGTAAAATATTTGTGGGACATTTTTGAAAGATTGATTTCAATAAAAATATTCACTTTTTTGTTATGGTTATATAATTTTGATGTACGACTATATATATCAAATTTAATCATATATCGAAAATATAATTTTGTTTTAAAATCTTTTCTTTTTTAATTGTAATAAGAAAAAGTATGATTTGGTTGCATGAATTATTTTTTACATAAACATACACGTATTTAAAAAAAATGAATCGTATTGTAGGAAATTTAAAAATTTGTCAATAAATGATATTTTAGAAGGCACAATCGTATTAATAATTACAGGAATAAATTATTGTAATAAAAATTCTATAGTATTATATAGAATATTTTAAAATAATATTTTAATGATTTTAAAATTATAGTTTAAAAAGATTATTTAAATTAAATTTATCATAGTATATAATCATAATATATAAATTAGTCTCCATAAAATATAAAGGCGATTAACGAGATTGCAAAAATTATTAATTCTAAAATTTGAGAATAAATTGATTTGGATTCTTAATGTTTAATATTCTGATATATCTATTTAATCCAAGTCTAGATTATCCGATAGATTATTTAAATGACATGTCCCGATCTCCATTAAACCGGTTAATCAAGGTTGTATCGAATCGACAAGTGAAGAAAACTTAGGATGTTTGAACACGATTGATAATTGATTTTATTCATACTTAAAAAGGAATATATAAACTGATATTTGACTACTTTTTCTTCATTTTAAAAAAAAAATAGTATAATGTTATTCGAATAACTTTGATCAATTTATATCGAATGGAGCAAATTATTATTTTTAAATTTTGTAATTAAACGAAATATAAATAAATAATTTTTAAGATTTATAATTATACAATATAATATATTAAGTTTTACTTTCGAAATCTGATAATTTTTTAAATTCATAGCAAAAATTGTATAATTTTAACTTTTATATATATTCAATTAAATAAAATATTATAATAAATAATAATATTACAATAAATATAAAATAAAAAGTAAAAACAATTTTCTAATTCTGATGAATCGAATTGATAAAATATGTTTATTGCATCTGAATTCATAGTAAAACTTAATACATTTTCTTCTTTTTTTTTTCTTCTTTTTTTTTCCTTCTTTTTTTTATATAAAATATAAACGAAGATGCAACACGTCCTAGTTTCTAAAACAACATTAGCTATGTTCGCGATCACGTAGCGCCATTCGTTTTCATTGATCAAGGTTGCGGCGCGTTTTTATTCTTTTTTCCTGATTGAATGATAAAATTAAAGAATTAAACAACAAAGTAAAAGGAAAAAAATATTTAATTTTTTTTTATACATCGTATCATATTAAGCTATATTAAGAAGAAAAATAAAAAAATATATAATATAATATAATAATAAATAAAATGAATACGATATATCATCATATTATATAATGATTAATATATTAAGCACGAAAAAAATCGAATTAAACGCAGGGGCAAACGAAGCCGAAGATTTTTGTTGAAAACTACAATTATCAAATGAGAATAAACAATTTGTGGCAATTTGACGACCGATTTTCAAACCAAAGACATCATGACGAGCGAAATCGTGCGAATTATGACGCGGTTAACATCTTTGTATCTTTGTAATATTATTCTTTCTTTTTTTGCTTGATATTTTTATTATTTCGCGGTTTTATTATTCCGATATTTTGATATTCTATACGTCATAGACATATCAATTCAAAGTTATATTATATTATTACGTATTACAACATATTGTAGGATATATTGTATATTCTTATCAGATTGAAAATTATTATCAGAAATTCATTTACACATGCACATAATTCATATATGGAAGAATAATATCGGTAATTAATAAAAATAATAATTCTTTTTTCAAGATATTTATTGAACGAAGATATAATATTTTTTTTTAAATTTATGGAAAATAATTATCTATAATATCTTTTTCTTCTAGTAATTTAATTATTGCTTTTATTATTTTATTATATAAAAATTGCGATTCATAATAATAATTATATTTATTTCTTTTTCCAGACACGGAGTCCTCAACGAAGGAGCAACATCAGTATGAAAAGAAAAGTTCGGACACAACGATGCACGTAAACGGGCATACGACACACAACGCGAAACAAGAAATGAGTAAGTTCTTTTTTTTTTTATTACATATTTGTACATACATATATTCCTATTCATAAATATTAGAACATTTATTCGCCTGGTACATAATGATTGAGCGGAAATTATAAAAAAAAAGAAAGAATAATAAAAAATAAGTTTAAATATAATATTATTTCACCTAGTTGTGTAGTCATCTAGTAACTCGGTACGCTTCTATGAACAGAAATTACAGTTATGGCAATTTATCGTGGGCTAATTTTCTACCTTGATTTTATCAAAAAATGAAGAATCAAAGAAAAAAATATTATTTTTTCTTTTTGATTTACGATTACGATAAACATATAATCTGAATATTCATTATTCCATTGAACAGTGATAATTATATTGTTTAAAACTAAAACTATTGATTTCTAATATATATCTTCATAACTACATATCTATACATATATTAGACAAATAATGTATAATTAAATATACGTAATTATATTTTTATTTGAATAAATACATATTAATTGTTTTTAAAAAAAAACTTTACTACACTTTTTTAATTTTTAATTTTTTAATGTGCAAAAGCGAGACAATTTGAAATCAGTCAATTTGAATGTTAATAAAAAAACATGCAATGGTATTAATTGCAAATCAACATCGAAAATTAGAAAAATGAAGATAAAAGATAGAAGATATTATATATTTTTATTTCTTGAACGTGAAACTCGTAATTTCAATATGGTAAAGTAGATGTGGGGATCGTAATTTGACAATTGGAACAGTACTAGTACTAGAGAGACGCTTCGTCGCAAAGTCAGTCGAATGTGCGTCGTAAATGAGAAAAATAGACATTGTATGGTGGCCGATGTCACTTGTTATGTAAGTCATTCAAGGCTCGATGACGTTATGCGAAGGTGTGCCATCCTCATCCTGTTCTTTCGTTATTATTGATCCACTGTTTCGCTTATTTAGTCGAATAACGAATTCTTGGATAGAATTTTACGAAATTTGGTCAACATTTATTCATTTGAATATTCGAACGTTTCAATATCTGGTTGCATGAACACTTATCGCAATGATATTCATTTTCGATTATAAATTTTTAATTATTTAATGATTTTATTAATATATCGATACAATATATATCGTTAGATGTTATAAAACTTCCTAGTATTTAATTAACAAAAATCTAATTACGAAGAGAAGTACATAACAAAATATACATAAATAATTTTTGTTAAATATATTTTAAAAATATAAAAATATAAAATCCTCGAATTCAAGACCAGTTTTATAATATTTCGCAAAAATATGTAATATTTTGTACATAGAATGTTCGCTTAGCGACAAACGAGGATTCCGCTTGGTTCAATTTTATTTTCTAGACTGCATTCGCTGGAATAGTGCCGAAGGATGACATAACACGAGTAATTTTAATGGAACAACTCCCTCCGATATAGGACAAGATGATTTCAAAGAATAGTTAGGGTGTGTTCGATATCCAGGATGCGATTCGTTTGTTAGAGACGAATAGCATAAATCTAAAGAATAAATCGAACGCGTCTAATTTCATCTTCGGAAATATGTTCGATCGTGTAGGGGATCTTGATTTATGGAATAATTGTCATGTTGAAGGAAAGGGAAACTTAAAAACAATTATTATAAATGTGTAAAAATATCAGTAGTGAAAAATATTTTTTATCAAATTTATAATTGGTATTATGTTATAATATAAAAATTATAATCATATAAGTATTATTTATGGAATAATTATAAAAATCATTGTGTATGGTAATATGTTACAAATGATATGTTTTTATCATATGTTCTCTTTAAGAAAAGTGAAATGATAATTGCAATTGTGAAAATAATAGATAAAGAAATATAATAAAGACAAAAAAATTAAATAATTGACACGTACTAATGGAAGAAAATTAGTTCTATTTATCTATTGGGCTGTTAAAAAAAAAGAAATAAAAGTATTAAATTTATGAGCATAATATGCATTTTTAATCTAAATTCTCTGACGAAGTTTAGAGAAAAGTCACATTGAATGGATTTCATCGTAAGAACAATTTTTTCGAAAATAAAAAAGGAGAAAAATATTTTTAATATTATAATATAAGTTAAGATTTATTTGAAAAAAAATGGAGTATCATGCGAAAAAAATAAAAATAAAGCAAATCGGTGAAGGCAGAAAGAATAATCGGTATATGTATATGTACAGGATATATCGTGTGCTTATCGTGACCCCAGTCAATGGTTCGCGTAGCGTAGTCGAGTCATCTGGATCATCTGGAGTATCTAGAACGTATTGATCGCGGCTAAGCAGCTGTACTCTCGGGCTGGCAGTAACGTTGGGGCGGCCGTACGGAAAACACACGTGTTACATGGTCTCGCGATGAAAACGTCGGTGTCGTGAAAACTACTTTCGAGGGAAAGTGCAAAGCCCTTTCGCTTTGACCCGATCCAACACGATTCTTTCCACGTTCGGTGTGCGCGTGTCTTCGTTGAAACGCGATTTTTATTTTTTTTCCGGAATATCGAACGACTAGGGATATGCCACGTTATAAGTTTAGTCGGCGATTAATCACGATTAATCGTAAATAATCGAATACAAAATGAATCGTTTATATGCCGGCCGCGCGTTTTCTTTTCATATCGTGTACGCGGGGTGCAGATTTCTTCTCTAAGTTTTATTATTTGTTAAAGTGATACGATGATGTTACACGTGAGGGAAGAATTTTAGCGAAGATGAGGATCAGGATGAGGTGGAGAATATTTTTTTGAATTTTTAATCATCCTTATGTCGCATATATATATTATGATTAAAATTATTGCACAATAAAAATAGCGATATATATAAAATAATAATATAATAATAAAATGATAGTTGATCATAATAATAATAATAATAATAATAATAATAATATAATATGAATTTATATCGTAACAAACGATAATCCAATAAATATCGATAAAAAATTCGTGTCACTTGCGCGATATACAAAGATTAAACCATAACGTTTACAGGATTAAATGTTTCTCGTTCTTCTTTCTTCCTTTTTTGATACGATATTAAGATAACTCGTGTAAAGAAGTGTCAAATTTATGAATAGGAATAGGTTTGAAACGATATTTGATCGCGAATAATTTCATAGTTCAACAAGAATTTAGTTTACATTGTGGTTTCAAAGTGTCGATCTTAAATACCCATTTCGATGTTTGTGCAAATATTGGAAATGTTTGACAACAAATAATTTCTTGTTTTGGAAACAATGAGTGATTCTATTTGCGTTGTAATTATTTATCGTTTGTTCTATCGATCAATGATTTTCGAGTGATATGATGAGTTCGTTAGAAATTAAAATGTGTAAAATTTGGAAGAATTTTAACACGTGAAATATACGCTATAAAATATTTATCGTTAATGAAATTAATATAATAATTAATTTTTAATTAATAATTTTTTATTTAAAAATACATTTTATCGATATTGATCAATGTAATAAGTATTGCTTTTTTTCCTTTCTTCTATAATAATAATCTTTGAATATAAAATAAATTATACATTATCGAATAATATGTTTCGTTAAGAAAGTTTAATATTCACTAAATTTTACAACTGATTTAGCCATAATTATGACTTTTTCATCTCTATATTTTTACACAATAGCAAAAGTTGTATTTTTTTTCACTACTGATTAATTTATTGCTATTTCTTACCGATTATTGATTACAACGATTCAAAACAAATATTTTAAATCATATGTCTTAAAAAAAGAAAAAAAAGAAAAAAAGTTACAATTTTTTCTATATTTATTTTTGCAATAAAATCATATCGTATATGCATAAATATTTTTTTGAACGAGAAATATCAAATATAACTAAACTTTTAAATATTTAATGCAACTTACTATAGTCAGTTTGATATTTTTATTGTAACTCATTCGGTGTTTATCTTCGTAAAAAGAAGGAACGTTAAATGTTTTTTCATATCTTTGAAAGATACGTAGATTTATATAATGCCGATATTCCATTTATATGGCTGGTGACGAAAATATACGTTTCGTTAAGAAATTATTAATCTATCATAACGAGAATAATACTCATATGCTTTTCTTATATTAATTAAAATTAATCTAAATTATATCGAGGGCAAAATTTTTGTCTACGATAAATATTGTATAAATATTGCATAAGTAATTAATATGTATTAATAATTAATATATTTTGAGTGATATTACTAATAATTTAGCAATATTTTTTAGCGTTTTTAAAACTATTAATAATATTCTTGAAAAGTGAAGTGAAATTATTGAAAAAATTCGCGTGTTACGACACTTGCAATATTTTACATTTCTTTTAATGATAGAATAAAAAATATGAAAACCATATATAATAAAAATAATAATAAATAAATATCATAAATATCAAATAATTATTAATAATATTTTCTCAACTTAATTGAACTACATTATTATTACTCTTGAAACATTGAACGATATAATGTGGAAATAGTATTAAAATATTTGATATTGTTCGATATTATTAATAATTACGAGGAATCAAATTTTTCTGAGTTATTTTAAATATCATTTTTATGATAAATTATATAAAATTTGTATAGAAACAGATCTTATCGATTTGAAATTTTAGATTTTTTTTTTTTTTTTTTTCTATTATTTTTTGATCTTTCATTTTCTTTGAGTAGATTACGTAAATCCTACTATAAAGAACTAATCAATTCGAATGTATTTTTCCGTTTCTCTTCATATTTAGTTATCCATTATCAAAGATCGTCTTTGAAATCGTACAGTCATACATTCGATGCTTTAACAATTCACGTTTTCTAATTAAAAATAATCTATTATTTTTATATTTTTGCATTATAATATCTATTATCGTATTATAATATTACAATAATGATATATAAATATTTTATTTTATTACGTTATTGACAATTTAATGAAAAGATGTTATATTCATAACATAAAAAAAAGATTTTGTTATGAATCATTATAAATTATTGTAGAGAAAAGAAGAGAAGAGAAAGAGAGAGAGAGAAAGATCAAAAGTTTTATTGAAAATTTGTATTTAATAGAGACTATAACTTGAAAATTCAATTATTCAAATATTAAAGTAAAGTATTAAAAAAAAAAACATTCATACAAAAGATGGAATAATATATGAATTATAAATGAATTATTAAAGTTATATGTATATAACTTTATAAAGATATATATATAATAAAAGGAAAAAATATCTCGAGAAGTTAGCGTTACGAGCACAAAATGGTTGATGATGAGAATTGCGTGTACGAATTGTTTATCGCTATTCGTAACGGGTTTGCGCATGGGTTTCACTTTCAATGAATATTCGCGTTTCCAGAGACGATGTCAATCTCCTCCCCAACTTGAATTGCTCGATTCGCGTCGCGTTTGTTCCCTCTCTCAACTCACTTTCCGTCGCGTTAATTGCACCCCGTTAATTGGCAATAATTGATTCAAACTGTTGATTTTTAACATTCGATTCGCGATTATTATTATTATTATTATTATTATTATTCGATTCATGGCGTGTCACGCCGCGCAAATAATTTCAAAATCGCGTTTCACGGTTCGTTCGTCGATTGGCATCGGTTCGTGAAATTCTCGTAATGGGTAATAATCGAAATAAAAGAGTGTAACGTTGACCTCTGAATTCGAACGTAGCGATAACATCAATAATTTATCTAATCTATTTTAAAAGATTACGAAAACTTTTTTTCTATCGTATGTATAAATAAATGGGTAAATATGAAAACTATAATTATTAACATTATCTCAATAATCTTAATAATATCTTTTTTATCAAGGTAAATGGAACACTTTGCTGCTACCAATTTGTGTTCAAATTATGGGAAGTGGGTTATTAAATAATTGTACGTTACAAAATGATTTGCATATAATCGGACTAAATGTGTAGGTACGTTATAAATTCCGTGAGACGATTCCCTTATATATTCTTTCTTAATAATGTTATCACGAAAAAAACAAACATTATTTCTTAATGTATCCGTAACCATTTTTTCTTTCATCATTTCTTTCGAAATGTTAAACTCGGAAAATAAAAAATAATAAAAAATAATAGAAATTCGTAGTTGTAGTGTAATATCGAACATATAATAAGTAAGAGATCGAAAATAATATCGAAATATAACCGGATTTTATATTTTTTATTATATATACGTATAATATTATATAATACGTATAATAAATTAAGGTTTTTATCCAAATTTTATCTTATTAATTTTATATAAATATATTATTAACTAAATTAGTTTTTTTTTTTGAAATGCTAAAATCTCGTTTCAGCATTAATTAATTTTAAACGCGATTCTTTAAGATTTAAATTAATAAATTGATTTTAAGCCTCATTTGTTAATTTATTCGATTCAAGATTCTTCTTTCTCATATTTCAAGGTTGTATTTATTCGAAACAATTATTAATAATCATATTTGCAATTCATAAGAATGAATTATATTAATATTATTATAAATAATAAGATTTTCCTTTTATTTCTATGATGAGAAAATATTTACATATATATCTAAAATTTGTAGAAACATAAACATCGTTATCTAATATTAACAACTTATCATTTTCCGTGATTCTAATGAATATATATATATATTGCGAATGTATTATTTGACACGATCGTTACAATTATTTTCACGAACTAAATCTTTCTTGACGTGATTAATATTCGATATAATTTTGAATGATGACTATTTATTTTTTTCTATATTTTCAATTTTTTTTATTTATAATCTTATTATTAATTTTATTTCATATCATATAATTATATGCAAAAACAAAGAAGCTCGGATTTTGAGCTAATCGAGTTCGCCTCGATGCACGACAATATTGAAAGTAATCGTTTAAGTAGAAATTTATCTTTTTTTCTAAAAGAATCAAATATTATTATCTCGAAGATCTATTTATGAGAAAAAAAAATTATAACTTGAAATGAAAATAATTGAAATCGAAGTCACGATATAAATGTGATTCATCTCGTATACTGAATTGCTCGATCAGGAGATAAACGATGGATCGATCAATCGAAATATATGAAACGGTGGGACGAGATAAAGGTTGTGAAAAGATCAATTGGTTCAATACATAATGAATTCATAAAAGACTGTTGGAAATATGAAAAAAAAAACTAATATCCATCATTGGGAAAATGATTAAAATCATTTAATTAATTTTTCGTCTATGATAATCGACGATGTGTTAATTAATTGTTTATCCGTCCGATGAAGCACTGGTGTGGTTGTTTCGCGTTTCGAAAGAAAAGTGACTCGGTGGAGAGGACGTGTACGCGAGACAGCACATTGGCTCTGTTTGCGCTTGTTAATCAGTTCAATTGAATAACGTATTAATACGTCGGGGTCACCGTAAGGTTAATCGCAATGTCCACGCCGGACACGATGGACACCATCGATGAAGCGGAGCAGGCGTGGCGTGAGTATTATACAGAACGACAAAATTTACAACGTTTTATTATTTATTATTTATTCATTATTTTTCGTCCATCAAGTTGTACACGATGTTTCATTGAAAAAATAATTATATACTCGATGTTTAATTACAAATTATAAACCAATATAATATACATGAAAACGAAAAAGCAGAGATCATTCAATAGATCATTTTTTAATAAATCATTTAATAATATCTGTGTCAATTTTCTGTGTTGATTATAATATTTTTTACAAATGAAAATAACAGCTATTTATTTTCCTATGGACATTGATTAAATCGCAAGATATCGAAGCGAAAATTTTAAAACAATCACGATTAGCTGTTATGGCAAAGAATTGCAGAAAGCTGATAAAGCTGAGAAAATAAACTGGTAAACTTTGTAGATTGACGAAATATATTTATGTAAGGTAAAAAATTGTATAAAATTGGCGAAGCGATAACGATGCTCGATCCGATGAACGAGAATTCCCTTTTACAGACGAGATGTTGGAGTGCGAGACCGGATCCCTGTTGGGCCGAGTCGCGGATCTCGAGAGGCAATCCTTGGCGCAAAGGGACGAGATAGTTTGTCTTCGCGCTACTCTCGCAGACGCGTTAAGGCGGATCGCACTGTTGGAAGGACGCGAAAAAAGGGAGGATGAGAGGAACGAGAGGAGAAACGAGAGGATGGTGTCCTCGCCCTTAAGGAACGGACACGTATCGCTTAGGAGTAAGTACAAGCCGGAATCACGATCCTTGCCGATTATTTTGCATGCCTAAAATCGCGGATTGCTAACGTGTTCAACTTGCCTTTTATCGAAGGTGTGACAACGTATTTTTATTACAATGTTTTACAATATTTTCAAAATTAGAGAAGCTAGGAAAGAAAATCTTGACAGAAAAGATGAACGACAAGTTTCAGAAAATATATAATAATTGTGTTGTAATTGTCGTGCTAAAGCTTGGAGGATAAAAAGTGAACACTCGTTAGATTATAGTGGAATAGATAAAATTTCCTTTGATCGATATCTTCTGCTTTGCTTTATAAATGATATCTGTTCGTGACCCGTATTTGAAATAACGAAAACTCGAGGCGTGGCAAATCGTGCAAAGTTGAATACGTCAATCAAACGGAATAATTAGTATTTGATCTTTTATTACTTTCGCGTGGAACAGGGTTCAGCCATTATTGATTCTCGATACGACGCGACGAAACAAAAGTAGAAAAACCAATAAAGATGAACGCATTATCGTCCAGAACGTGTATAGAATTATCGTAATGAAATATTTGAATCGTATAAATATTAAATATCGGATAAACTTTAGAAATAATGGAAGGAAAAATTAAATTACTTCTTTGTAAGAAAATAATGGAAATTGTTTGAGATCGATCTTCGTCAGTTTGGTTGCGGTAATTACGAAGCGTGAAGCAGAAAAAAAACGATATTATAAATTTTCAAGACGAGAATAAATTTGGACGGGAATCGTTACAAAAGCTATGGTGGCATGTCGCGAATCACAAATAGGCGGAGAAGCCTGACGAGGCTGAGCCCATTTGAAACAAAGTTCATCGGGTTTACCTGTTAACACGCCACACTGCTTAGGGTCACGTTCCGTTTCGTTTCGTTCGCGATTCACGAGGCAATTTCATCGGGCAATTGCAGTTCTATCTATTCCGAGATACTATTCCAGTTCCTGCCAACCAGAACGTACACTTTTGAAACGAACGTTTATAACATCGGTATCTAAAAAGGTTTGAAACGATATCGCGCATAGTTCACGGATAGTTCGGTTTATTTCAATGATAATATATCGATGAAAAATGCACGAACCGGTCTTAACCGTACAAATCTTACTCGATCTTTCTTCTTTCTCACTTTTTAAACGTCTTAAGAGCTTAGAGTTATATATAAATAATTAGAACGAGATATGTGATATTAAAAATACGGTTATGCGACAAATATTAATCTTATTAAAATTGTATTGTTATTAGGTAATCAAAATTCAACACCAGCGAAAGACGTACGTTTACGTCAAACTGGTTGCTTGAGAAATTCATCATCCTCCGGATCTTCTCAAGACGTTCGAGATTCGATTTCCAGTCCACGGAGGCCAGTCAGTTACACTCATTCCTCTCAACTTCCTCAAAGGTATATCGTTTTTTTTCTCTACCAATGATCGCGTTTTTTCGAATTAATTTATTTTTAATATATTTATAATGTATATTGCCATTATCGAAATTGGTTATAATCGTTGGTTATGACCATTTTTTTCTCTATCTTTTTCATTCAAAAAAAAAAAATTAACGATTAATTAACTTTCAGAAGGTCAGTTCATTATCAATCGACGGGTTCTTTACATTCGGACAGTCCCAGTAGTAGTAGTGTTTCCCCGGTGCCATCGCCAAGTCCTAGAGCCACACCACTGCCAGTAGCCAGGTACTCGAATTAAATTAATTCACTTACTATATTTTTCCTCCTTTTTTAACAACAAATCGAGTAAAATAAATAGTTTTTCTTTTACATAGAGAGTAGATAAATGCCATGGAAAATGATACTTTTTCTATTATAAGGAAGAAGGAATAAATTGAAAATATTCTTTCATGAGATTGAAACTTAAATGTATCATTTTTCTTTTTTAGATATGCATGCTAACGAATATAATATAATTAACGCGTCTGTACTTAGAATTCGTAATTTTCGCTTGTGCTCGTGCTCGTGTGTTTGTAATTGAATTATGATCAATTTTGTACTTTAGATATAATACGAATTGAGAAATCTTATTCTCTTCTAGTATTATATATTTGGTCATAGTAAAATCTACATAGTTACTCGTTATACTATTGCATCGTGTTATTTCTTAATAATTTATATTTACAGCATGAGAATTAAAAAAGGAATTAGTACACGAGGAATAAAATTTTATACGTTGACGTTAATTAACGAAATTTCTATTTGAATTATTAACTAGCGTAAAACAATTGTTGTTAAAAAGTAAGAATAAAAAATTTTAACATATTTTGATTTGATAGTTCGAATTATATTTTAAAAATCTATCTAGGAATTTTCAATTAATTTGTACGAATAAATTTTATTCCGTTAAAAGAAATAAATTCAAAGTAGTATATTTGAATAGATTAATAGAAAATGATGTGTAATAGAAAATGATGGAATCATATGACATCTTTATCGTATCGTGAAAACGCGAATTTCGCGTGAAGATTGTAAAATGTCACGTGCGATGGCACGGGGAGGGAGGAAAAATGTCGTTTAACGCGACAAATCGAATCCCGTGGACGATCCGCGACAGATCCGCAACCGAAGGTAATTGCGTTTTCCCGTCACGCATTAATCCTGTTATTCGATAGATCACCGACAGCAAGATCAAACGGGCCACCCCAAAGCAGCTTAAGAAGGGCGAAACGGTGGTCGTCCACAGGGGATTTTACGCATTCCCCGCAAAATCAGGGAAGCAATTCGCAACTCGTGGGTGGCAGGTAAGCGATATTAACGAGCGAATGCACATTTGCCTGCTTTCCTCTTATTTACGGAGGACTCGACTCGATTTTAACCCTCATCCGAGCGCACCTTTCTTTTTTCGCTTCTTTGAACGTTTTACTATTACCTTATGTGACGGTCGTACGCGTTTTTCTTTTTTTTTCTTTTTTATATATATATCCTTCGATGAATGAAAGCGAATAAAAATAGGAAACACCTTCTCATCAAGTTCGTGAAATTATTAGAGTGCAATGTTCTTTGAAAGCGAGTTGAAATCGGTCACGGTGACCGATTATTAGAGTCTTGGAGAGACTTTGTTTCTTTTTTGCTTTTAAAACTAACGATTTGTTCCCAATCTTGCAGCTATGAAAGTTTAGTTTTTTTTAATTTCAATGATAAAAATATATCGATCGAAAAGGAATCCTTACTTATAAACTTATAAACGAATAAAGACACGTAGTATTTATACACGGATATTCTCGAAAGTTTTGCTTCTGGATGGATGGAAATTCATTATTATTTAAATTAATAATTTTGACGGTAAGGTTGGCGCGAAAGAGGAGCGTCTAGCGAGCAACATTGACGGAGCAACGGACTATCGATTATGTCTCGCGACGTGAATTCGCTTCACAGCTCATTAATCGTGGAAAGCGTATAACCATCTCCCGTTTGTTTTCCATTCGTCCGAGCTTCCCTTTGGTGGTAACTGAATCGAGAGAATCGGTTACCGGAAGTGGATAATTCTTCTCATCGCATTGCGGGCGAGAAAGCGCAAATGGTCCATGGGGAAAAAAAGGAAAAAAAAAAGCACGTACGGCTCGTCACTTTGTTTATTTCATCCTTTTTTACGTGTTTTTTATTCGTTTATTTATTTATTTATCACTTTTTCTCTAACTCCTCTCACTCCGTTCGGCACCGCATGGTTTTCGTTTGCATTTTCGTTCATTATAGATTGTCAGCCTCCACCAAGTCTTTGTTCAACCTCTTCAAGCCCCCGGCGCTGAACAACGTGAAACATGGGTAAATAAAAATACATTCTTCGCATTTTATCCGATTTACGTCGAGAATTTTTAACCTTTTCGCGAATGCGATGTATGCATATCTTTTTGTCAAATTTTTAACAATTTGTTAAATATAAGTATAGATATAAATTAATCAGATATTGTCTAATCTTAGGAGAATTTATGAGACGATAGTATTAATAGCAGTAATACCAGTCTGAGTTTTACGTATAGAGAAATCTAAATCTTTTTTTATTTATAACGGAAATAAAAATTGAAAATCGAAGATTAAAAAAAACATACACATCCAGCCAATTGTGAAAAGGTTAAGAGAAACGAATACGACACGTGCGTCGGCTGTGATCGTGTCGGCCACGTGCACGTTACACGTGTACAATTGCCTTATAAGATACATCTTTTTAAACTTCTTTCAGGTGAGTGATAACAAGTACGAATAGTTTTTCGTTCGTTTGTTCGTTCGTTTATTCGTTTGTTCTCTCTAATCTTTTGTAGATTAAAAAAAAAGAAAAACCAATTTATCGATCGCGTGCAAATTAATGATTATGTAAAATAAAAAGGATCTTGTAACTGTCATCGCGTAAACTCGAATCATTTCTAGCACGAGTATTACAACTTTTCTTTTGGTCAAACGATAATACTTTGAGACTCGTTTTGTTAAACATTAAAAAAAAAATATTAGATTGCAACGTGTCGATTGTCACATCTACGAACGCGCATCCAAATCGATCCAAATAGCGAACGAGATACTGGCGTACTTCGTAGTAGTTATAACGTAAGTTATAAAGCTTACGTTACTACGATAGAACTCGTATAGCATGCCGTTAATTACTACGATAAAACTTGCGACCTCGAACGTTTGGATAGGAGAGAGATTTCCTAGTGATGAGCCCACCTTCGTCAAATGGAATCGGGGTAAAAAGCGTGAATTATACATTATGCATTCGCTCGAGAACCGTGAATGGATGTATCCTAATTAAAAAAATTCTAATTTTAAATGGTACACGCCTAGTTGGAACGTATTAACCCGAGCATAGCTTTCTTTTTCGCTCGTGAAAGGAAAACCTTGTTTGGAACGCGGCTCACCTTCCTATCTCTCCTCGATCAGCCTTCCGTAACCTACTTACGATCTTTCGAGTAACGTTTTCGAACTTTTACTATCCTTTTTTCTTTCCTCCTTTTTTTTTTAATTATTATTAACATATTGATTAATTCATTAGACTGTGGATTTTTTTTTACGCTCAAAACAAATATTCTATATTTCAACGAATGTATATAAAGAAATATATGCGCATAATGTTTATTACACGTATGCACGAGAATTCGCAGTCTAACGGGTACTTTTTGCTCGAAACTGTCTCTTGATTTTCTGTTCTTCGAATGAGCAAGTGTTTATAACGATCTATGTATTGCATATTAAATAGCATGTTTTTCCGTGTTGTTATCTTTTTTATACGGTAACGATAACGATATATCGTGGACATCTCGTACAAAATTTCGAAAATTTTTCGAAATTTCGTATTTAATTCACGATTAAAACAAGTCGATAATTTACTTTTAATAATGGAAAAGGAAAGGTAAAGTTAAAAGTTTGAACGGATAAATCTAAGAAGGGAAAGTTATGTAGCAAAAGTGATTTTTAATTAACTAAACGAAATTATTATTACGAGATATAACGACAATGAATTTTATTCGAAATGACAGTACTTTGGAAATAATATGGAAATTTAATTATCATATAACGGTGCTACGTTCTTTTAATCGTAAGTGCAAACAAACTTTAAAATATGTTTGCTTAAAAATATTTGCAAGAAGATTTCGCAGTCGAATCAATCGTAATTTCTACAGGGGTTAAAGATCGACGACATAATCATAAATTCCGTTAAATGGCAGAGGAACGAAGAGACAAGCGCAAACCGGTATTCGGTATATAACAGCGAATCCATGCGTTAAAGTCACCAGTGTACCAAATGAACGAAGGATAATCTACGAAAAAAAGCGCACAAAAAAGGGGGTGTAGAAGAAAGAGGATACGTTTTCATTCGACGAATAATTCGCTACGATAATTGAGAAAATGTTATAAAACGAGTAAAAATTATTCATTGTATTAAAAATAATCCAAAAGGCGAATAATTGTGAATCTGTATTCATCCTATATTAAGTCTTAATCGTCAAATCAATCTCGATACGTAATCTCGATCTTTTCCCGCAAACTTGAATCATTGGCAAAATAAGTATGCGATAAATATTCGAGGATAATTCTCTTCGAGCACTTTCTAAGAAAGGTTCCAAGGCGACAGGTATGAAAGTCACGTGAATAACAACGGTCGTTCATCGCACAAAAGAGCTATGCCATTGCATTCCCGAAGAAAGTGAATCGCGATTTCTGTCGTTATACAACCGTGAATTCCCAGTTTCCTGGTACAAGCTGTTTACCAGCGGATCTTATAGACAGTCGGTAAAAAAATTGGCGAACAAGCAAAGTTCCTCTTCACGCTTTACCGATTCATTTTCATCGTATCCGTTTTCGCTTGGTATTTAAATACGCTTCGATACTCCTTAACTTCTTGGTTATAAATTTTACTTGCACGCAAAGAGTTGGATTATGTAATTTTTTATGGCATGGTAGTGTCCTTTTTATTATTATTATTTGTGTCCTTTTAGTTGTAAAATTTGATGTAAAATAGATAAAAATTTGATGTAATAAAAATTGTAAATTTTATTCGATTTAAAAAATTTATCATCGAGAGCGAATAATATTTTAATTTGTACAAATATTCGCGTTATACGTTATACGTATATTTTACTTTTACTACATACATATTTTACTACATATTTAAATTTTTATTACATAAATAAAAATTTTCAGATACAGATAACGCACAAATACTTTCGCGATTGACTGTACATATATCGCTTGGATGAAATGTTCGCTCCAGCCGGCATTCATTCAACATCCGAGTAATTCACGGTCGCCATTAACGCAAAAACGTATCCTAAATCGAGAGAAGAAATAAAACGGTCTACCGTTTTTCTTTTCACGGAATGGGCAATTTCGGGTTTTTTCAAGCGAGTCGTAAATCGCGTCTCGAACGGCAGACAGTCCTTGATCGTAATCGCGGATGAGGAGAGTTGGGACGGGGAAGCGGAAAGGAAGGCAAGAATGACGTAACGTGGTAACGCGCAAAACTATGCCTGGTCGGGTAATAAAAGCGAACGCGCGCAACGAGTGACTCATTCTTTCGCGGTTTCGAGAGTAGATCGTCACGGAAAGTTCTGCAATCTATCAATCGGTTTGCCATTTAAACACGGTAGGTGTAACATCATTCTCCAAAGTAAAATAAATCGATAAGACGATAATTCAGCCTTGATCTGATAATTAAAGATAGATAAAGTGATCGTTGCGTGGTAAATGACGGGAAACTTGCAAGTGACGGGTAAAAGATGAAAGTAGTAGTTGATCAATGGTAGTGTTTTTATAGAGAAAACGTGATTTCCAATTTGTTATTTACAACTCGTAAGAAAATCGCCTTTTAACTCAATATTCCACGAAGTAATCATTCGATGGAGATTAAGTTTCAAAATTTTTCTTGAATGTGTTAAGAATTGAAGATGAGAAACGCGTAAATTTCGCTCGATAGAAAGATCGGTTTTTGAAGAAGGAATGAGAAAAAACAGGATATCTAAATTCGCAGCACGAGAGATATGCAGTACAACGAGGAGGAGAATACCGTCCGCATGTACCTGCGGGGACGACCCGTTGTCCTCTACGTTCCGTCGCCTTTGACGGAGTCGTACGACCTTCACAAAGTCAGCACACCGCCCCAGAGCAAATTGAAACTCGACTGGGTGTACGGTTACCGAGGCAGGGATTGTCGAAGCAATTTGCATCTACTGCCCACCGGTGAAATCGTTTATTTCGTCGCAGCTGTGGTGGTATTGTACAACATGGAGGAGCATAGCCAGAGGCATTACCTGGGTCATACGGACGATATCAAATGGTGAGTTAATCGCGACTTAATAACGATATGGTAAGGAAAATTCGCTATTGAAAATTTTTTTTTTTTTAAATACAACGCTTAAAAAGTTGAAGTACAGTTTTCTTTTGTAAAAAATAGATACTATAAAATTACTATTATTATAAAAGAAAGTATTAAGCTATTTTTTTTTAATCATATTAATTGAATATATTACATTGATTAAATATATTTCAGCATAGCCATTCATCCGAACAAAATGGTAGTCGCTACTGGTCAAGTATGTGGGACCGATAGGCGAGATGCTATGGTAAGAACGCGATTAAACTAGAATTAATCGGGAGGTGAATGAAAATAACGATTTTGTAATTTATTATTGATACTAAAACGCTTATAATTATAATTAGGCACGAGTCTAAGATTTATTATGTCACACGATATATTTCGTTTCATTAGATTCAAAGAAGAAATAAAAATAAACAAGATCAATAAATATATTTCGAAAATATAACAAATTTTACCATGATATTTTTTTTTATCTATTTTCTAATTTTTATCGAAAAGCATCGAAATTATTATTTTTCATTCGACTCTCTGATAAATATTCGTAATATATCTACATGTATATCTTAGGATTTAATTTACAATTAATCTAGGATTTAATCGTAAAATTTTTCTCAGCCACACATAAGGATATGGAATTCGGTCAGTTTGGCAACTCTTTGTGTGATTGGTAACGGCGAATTCGATGGTTCGATTTGTTGCCTCTCGTTCTCGAAGGCAGACGGTGGAAATTACTTGTGTGCGATCGACGAGACCTCCGATCACAATATCTCGATCTGGGATTGGCAGAAAGGAGAACGAGGTACCAAGATAACTGAAACAAAGGTATGTTCCAATTCTCTGATACAATTGTTGCAATTAATTAGTTTTAATTTAAACTTATAGATTATAGGAAACATATACCTACTATTTCTCATTCTTTCATTCTTATCATTCACTATAAATTCCGATAACTTAAATATTACTCTGCATAAAGCAATTGTTAAAATTTATTATGATCGTGAAAAGCTGAAAATAGTAGATATATATTTTCTCCTATAGGAAATTTTAAAGATTTTTTAATATATATATATATATATTAAATATCTTTTCTTTATCTAATAGATAAAGAAATAATTATTTTCTACATCTATTTTGAATTTCTTGCAATTTTATTACATTCAAATTAATTATTCTCCATTTTGAAGAGTTGTATTTATATAAAATTGAAATTTTATATTATATCGATATATATCAGATAATATCGTTATTTCTATAGAGGAGATAAATACACGTGTCAAGGTTAACGTATTGTGCAATATCGATTCATTTCTAAGAATATTATATATTATCGGAATCATAAATGTGCGAGAAAGAATAGAAAATATATAATTTCGGTCACAAAGAAACACATACACATTGATTCGTGAGTGTGCGAAACCGGAACCGGTCCATTCAATGAACGACGATGGTCAATTGCAGTGCTCGGTGGACACGGTGGTATGCGCGGAGTGGCATCCGCTGGAACGGAACCAGATCGTGTCCTGTGGGAAAGGACACCTGTCTTTTTGGTCCCTCGATAATGGTGGTATGCTGTACAAGCGGATGGGGATTTTCGAGAGCAGAGAAAAACCGAGATACGTCACCTGTGTGGCGTTTAATCAAAACGGTGATGTTCTTACCGGTGATAGCAACGGTAACATCATTGTTTGGGGCAGAGGTAAAATAAAAAGAAGAATTGTATCAGTGATTTCGATTTTTTTCTTTCCAATTCTTACGTGTCGAATATTTAATATTTTTTTTTTTTTTTTTTACTTGAAAGCTAAAAGCTAAATTTTAATACGTTACAATAATCTTTAAATTCATCCAGATCGTTGTTATTTGTTTTATTTAACATTTCAACTTTTGAAACATTTGAATTAATATCATATTCGAGATTATTAAGATAAAAGAATAATATTTGTAATTAAAATAAAATACATTTTATTTACAGGAACAAACACAATTTCTAAAATAGTGAGGAACGTTCACGAAGGATCGATATTTTCAATTTGTGTCCTGAAAGATGGTTTTATCGTCACCGGTGGTGGCAAAGATGGCAAAATTTTGTATTTCGACGAATCTTTAAATTTAACAGGAGAAGAAGCACAAGTAAGCAGAATTAATCAGAATATGGTGTTCAAATAATGATAAATAATTTTTTTTTTTTAATAACGATCAGATCACAATAGACAATAATGTTCATCATATATACAGTTTATAAAGATTTAAATAATCATTTAAATATTTTTCTTGGAAATGTTCGTTCCAAGAATAAAAGAAAAATGATTATTCATGTCTATTACTTATTTAGAAATTAGAATTGATCAGTGATGAGATGCGAAGACTTGAAATGTGTGGCAAGGATGAAGATAATTGATTAAAATTATTTTTCTTTTCTTTCTTTATTTTTTTCTTATCTTTTTCATTATTTTTCTTTTTTTTTACGCCAACTTAGAGAGCTCGTATAGAAATAAATGAGAAAACATTTTTCTAATAATAATACATTTTATATTTAACAGATCGAAGATCATTTCGGTGGAATTCGAACACTCGCGGAAGGTAGAGGTTCGCAATTGTTGATAGGAACAACGAGAAACTGCATTTTAGTCGGTGATGTAGGAATGGGATTCAATCCAGCCATGTTAGGTCACGCTGAAGAGGTTTGGGGACTCGCTGCTCATCCAACTCTACCTCAATTTGCAACAGCAGGTCACGACAGATTATTACAAATGTGGGATAGTCTCAGTCATACTGTTGTTTGGAGTAAAGATATTGGAGTTAGTATTTAATTAAATTATTATAATATAAATATTTATTTTTTAATATAGTGTTTAGTAAGTGAATAATGCGAATAATTCAAATATACTCAGATTACACTTTAATTGAGAAATATTTTACATTTATCAAACATTGTGCAAAATTTAAAACGAGTAATGATTCGAAATAACATCAAATCGTAATCATATACTTTAATGAAAATTTAATTTACTTTATAAAGTAGTATGTTCTACTTTATAGTTCAAATTGTGGAAAATAACATGATTACAATTCCGTAGTAATTAAATAAAATCTTTATTCATTTAGGAGCAAGCACAAAGCATCGGGTTCTCACCAGATGGTAATGTTATGGTGGTCGGATGCACTTCCGGAAAATGGTTAGCAATTGATAGTGAAACGCGAGAATTATACACTCACCATAGTGATGGTTCAGAACCTATTCAGGTAAATTGTTAATTTAGATAAAAATAATTTTTTATGCATTTTTTTAAATAAATGTTATATATCAATAAATATTTCTCTCTCTCTCTCTCTCTCTCTCTCTCTCTCTCTCTATATATATATATATATATATATATATACAATGATTAAAAAAATACTTATAAAATAAATTTTAAAAAAGTTTTATCAAATATATTAAATATTTTATTTTCTTTTCATATTTTTATTCAAATATTTAAAACTAAATTTAAAACAAAGTTATAAGAATCTTTATCCTATTGGTGAAATTGACTTTATAATTTAATTTCAGGTCGTTCGATTTTCACCAGATGGTACTTTATTAGCATTGGGTTCCAGAGATAACTATATTTATATTTATCAAGTTAATGAAGATGCGATTAAATATAGTCGAGTTGGACGATGTATGGTAAGATTATTTTTATTATAAATTTTTAAAATTAATAATAATTGATCCAAAAGAAATATTATAAAAGTTTTATCATGTAAAAATTAAAAATTAATACGTATGTATAGACATAATTATATATACGATAAATTTTTTTTTAAATATATAATCTTAATTTAATATAAATATATTTTTTATTTTATTACTTAAACTTGCTTTATATAATATCCTTTAATAGTTAATATTATTATTAACTATTATTATTATTATTATTGTTAAATATATGTATAATTATATATAAGCAATTTCTTTTAGAAATTATTTATATTGTTGTTTATATTCTTGTATATATTTACTATTATTGATATTTGAAAAAAAATATAAAATTACACATAAATCACTAATCAATATTGAATGTCTATTGATATTTAAAGATTTAAAATTGGATGCTGTACAAATTGCTTTTATGCATCATAAAATTTGATCTATAATCATATCATTTGTATATTTTCATTTTGTGGTATTCTTCGATGTTTTATATGTTGAGATAATATATTATTACATATATATATATTTATTTTCATTGATGAGCATGCAGTAATATGAATATACATACGTATATCGATGTTAAATAATTAGAAAATAATTTATTTTATTCTTTTAAAAGAATATATATATTTATGGAAAGATCATTTTTTATTTTTTTAATGTGTATGTATAGAAAATTAATTTAGAATCATGTCCAACCATTGTAAATGTTTCATTATTCGTCATTCGTTTGTTTAAGAAAAAGATATTTCATTTATGAACAAATATATACGTGTATAAATATATTTTCATTGATTACAATATTACATTATCGAAACAAAATGTGTTTAAAATTTTCAGAATTCAAAATAGTAAAATTTACAAACGATTAGAATCACAAATATTACATATATTATTTCTTGATTTCTAGCCAAAGAGGATACGCAGACGTGGTGTAAGACATGTTTTTAGTTGATCAAAAATGAAATGGAGACATTACATTATAAATTATTGAAAATTTTATAAAAAATGATTTAACTTTATATTTATATAATCGATAAAAATAGGAATTTAAAATATATAAAATATTTCTTATAATGATATAATTTTTTGCGTTTAATAGATTTCTTAATGAATTTCTATGACAGATTTTTACATTTGTTATTACATTCGTAAATACAATTCTTTAGAATGAATTATGTATTAATATTGTAACAAATTTTTTAAATTTTCGATAAAAAGCATTAAATATCAACTTTTATTATTTTATTTTTATCTATTTTTTAATATATTCTTTTTTCAATAATTTGTAAAAAAGAAAATTTTGTAATTTGTAAAAAAGGGACAAGATAAAATAATTACAATAATAAAAATTATTAATTTTAAACTTTAGAAGAATTACAAAGAATTATATATTTTTTTTTTTTTTCGTATCTTTGATTTTATTATTATTGTATTAGATGTGCAATCAATGAAATTATTTCACATTATATGTGAAATTAATGATTTTTTTCTATATTTTGATATATGTATTTAAAATTATTATGAAAAATCTTTAAAATTTATCATCAACGCGACGAATGTAATGTCTTTATGAATGATGCAATATTATCATAGCTATTCATAGTCACATATGAGCAGACATTTCTGTTTAAAAATTGCTTACCGCGAGCACGCACGGTAGTCATTGTTTGCACCAATTGTTGACACTCTTTCCATAGTAATGGCCTGTAAACTGGGCCAACTCTTTAGTTGCTTTCAAGGGAGCCATTGACATAATTTTTTTTTATTTGCGAGGCATTTAGAAGATAGAAGCGAGGAATATTTTTTTCTATGTTTAAACGATGAAAATTTGTTTCAGGGACATTCCAGTTTTATAACTCATTTGGACTGGTCAGCAGATGGTCAATATTTACGTAGCAATAGCGGCGATTATGAGGTATTATATTGTAAGTAAAGAGTTCCATATTTTTCCAATGTTTTTTTGTCATATTATATACTACTCATATTAAATTATTCAAGAAATTTAACCTGAGATAATAGGAGATTGTATACATTAGATAAAAAAAATAGATGAAATTTTATTTTATTTTTTTTATTTTTTTATTATTGAAAAAGATGTCATTGATATCCTATCTTATTTTACTTTTGCCTATATTAAATTTCATAATTTTGGCGAATTAAAATAATTAAAATAAACAAATTTAATAATTTTTAAATATTTTTTTAACTATTAAAAAAATTAAAATCACATTAAAACATCGTTTTGCATGAAATTTCTTTAAATGTTATAATAAATAATAAATTGATTTAAAAGATACGTAAGAAAAGCATATAAATAAAATTTTATGTAATATTTTAGGGAATCCCGGAGTCTGTCGTCAGATTCCACAATCATCGATAATGAGGGACATGGAATGGGCAAGTCACACCTGTGTAATATCATTCGAAACGATTGGAATATGGCCCGAAGGCGCCGATGGCACAGACGTAAATAATTGCACGCGAAGCAGTGATTCGAAATTGCTCGCAACCGGAGATGATTTCGGAAAAGTAAAATTATTCTCTTATCCTGCTTGTCAACCAAAGGTAACGCTTTAAATTAACGTTATTAGAAACTTAAAAAATAAATAATCAAGAATAATCAAGAAAACACTTACGTTGAATTGCATTCGAATTTTCGAATGAAAATGAAATTTAAAAATTTATAAAAAATATAACATGAACATGATTAATTCTCATTGATTGAATACGATTAAATGATAAATATGAAAAATATATAATTCTATATTTTTTTTATTTATTTTTTATTCACACAGTGTCCATATTTTATAAAAAATAAATATTTATAAATATTTGCAATTCATAAGATTGAAAAGATAATCATAATTTTACAATTATATTTTTGCGAGAAACGAAAAAAAGAAAATACGTGTGAATTATTATAAATATGTGATATCTAACAAATAATTTCTCTATTCCAGTCTTTATGTCACGCATACGGTGGTCATTCAAGTCACGTTACGAACGTTTCGTTCCTTCAAGACGACACTCGACTAATTTCCACGGGCGGAAGTGACACAAGCGTTCTTCAATGGATCGTAAACTATTAACTCTATTATATAATTATGTAACTGAAAAACAAAATGAAAGATACAGAAGCGATAAAACATGAAGCGGATGCTCTTCTGAATTTAGTGGTACATACAATGTTCGTTAAAAGGAAATATGCGATTCTTATTTAAATCAAGGAAGAGAATCGATAACGAATAAACTAATTATTTAGAAGAGAAATCTCGATTGAACGAGAAAAGATACTGAATGCGGTTAATGAAATATTAGCTAAATTTTACCGTTTAAGTGTCCTTTACGAATTGAAATGACTGAATGTCATGTAATTTCTTAGGTGTAGAACGATCTTCGTAATTTTTTGCTTCAAAAAAAGAAAATTAAAAAGAAGAAGAAGAGAAAATGAGAAAAATTTAGCGAAATCTTGTATCCACGATGTGGCAACAGATAAACTTATACAACTTACTTTAACAGCTAATAATAACGTAACGAAGTGTCTTTTACATATTTCGCAACTATTTTTCAAACGTCCAAACGCTGAATCTATATATTTCTGTGTTCTTTATCTAATTAATCACCGACGAAACGCACTGTGCTGTTTTTCACGTAAAAAAAAAAAAAAAAAAAAAAAAAAAATAAGCTGCACAGCTTTAGAGAAGTATTTACTTTCGTATATAATTAATATCATAATATAAAAAAATTAGATTACGATTGCATCAATTGCTCGTATCTATAGAAAGATAAATGTCATCTGTGTAGTGTAATATATAAGTATCTTCTGTTTTTTTTCTTTCTCCTCTAATTTTCAATTCACACTCACAGATTAAATTTTCTTCGTGAATAGATTACGTTCAATTTTGATTAAAAATATTTTTTATTCTGTTATAAATTAATCGGAATTGGATAATATTCATACGAGCCTTTAAACTGTGTTTGAAATTATAAAAATGATTGAAAATAGATCGAATGTAGAACATGTAATTAAATACATGTAAAATAATGAAATAAATTTAAAGAGATAATTAATAAATTGGTATGAACGATGTTACATATCAACAGAATATTTTAGGATTAATTGCAAAAACAATTGAAATTATATTTTATTTTATCAGGAAATTATAATGTGTTTATATTTGATCACTGAATATTTATAAATTGCTATATATTAATATTTTCTAGAAATATAATATTTCTACCACGCAGATTTAATACTTCTGATGTAATACTTCTGAAAATGTGCATAAGAATACGTCGATGAAGATCGAAAGCTAAAATATATTTTGCTGATTTCTTATTAAGTTACTTAATAATCTTTCAATTTAATCTGATCTTTTCTCATGTATCACTTACATATAGCTGTAAATTTGTTTTCACTTAGGGCTATATAATAAATATACAGATTTACTTTTATATTTTTATATTAGAATTTTTATTCCTGTTATTTATTGTTCGCAATGTGGTTCGAGATTCGAATTCGTTAATACATCCATTATTTTTTATTACTCTTTTCTCTTTTATCATCTTTTTCTCTTCTCTGTTTAAATAAATTTTTAAATAGATCTCAGTTTAATAATTGATCTGTGAACAAATAATTTTTTTTTTCTCCCCGTGTGAATAAAATTTTTCCAATTTTTCGAATTTTAAATCATAATTTTTCACTTTTACAGAATATTATTGTACTCGTGGGATATCTTTGGAAAGTCATTTTTACATCTATAGGCCAAAACAAATATAAAAGTTTGTACATAAAAATATCGATTGTATACTGCAATTATAGAACGAATTATAAAAGTAATGAAAAATTAACTTTTCAATAAAAAAAAAATTATGAAATACCTTTTATATTCATCAAATTTGCAATTATGAAAATGTGATTGAACGATATTACGTAAATACTATAATAGAAAAGAAAAGATTACGTATATTTCATACAGAAGATGTTATTTTTTGCTTATACTCTACCAAAAGAAATGATACCGATTAATATTGTATGTTCTCAATAAATTTGAAGATATATGATAGGCAAGATAAAATATTATTTTGAATAGTAAATAGCAAATAAAAACGAGAGACTGTATTTTATTTTAGATTATAAATTTAATTTTAAAAATAAATATTTTATTTATTGAAAAAAACTTTTGAAATAATATTAGAAAAAATATTTTAAATTATTTATAAAAGATTTTTAAATTGAAGTATATAAAATTTCATTTGAAAATATTTTATTTATTTAAATTCGTTTTCCTTATACTCGTAAAAAATTGCTGCATTAATTCATTCGGTAATACTACTCTATTACAACCATTAATATTAATTGTAATTTAATTGTATTTATTATTTATTATATTTTATAGAAATAGAATAATAACAATACTTTTGCGCGATTCATTTGTTCGATCATATTTTCCAAGATTAAGGTGAAAAAGTAGACGGACATCATAAGTTGAGAGCCGTTTCGCCTCGATTTCGCAAGTTTCCCCGATTTAAAATGAAATTTAAACGCAGAACGAGTCTCGAGTCTCGATCTGTATGTATATACATTTATTACTACAACTGCTCATGCATTAATTCATAAAATATTTTTCAGTCAACTCGATACGAGATTACGTGACTCATAGTCATCTATGATTAGAATAATACGATAATCGATAAACTTAGCTCGATTATTGTTAATCTATGTTTTCTAATTGGTAGAAAGAAAACGAATTTAACGTAAATTGTTTCTTGAAATCTTAAAGTTACGAATCTAAGATTTGGCATTCGATAATTGATTAATTTAGTAATAACGAATGATTTAAACGAACGGTCAACTTATATGTATATTTTACGTGAAAATTAAATAAATGTATGAAACATTATTATAAATGTTGAATAATTATATTAACATGACATTTATATCGCCTCGATTAATTTTTTTTAATAAATTTAGAAACAAAAAAAGATTTAGAAGAAATATAAATTTAAAATGATCTCTTGGAATTCATTGAATAGTATATAAATACAAAATGATTGATTTGTTAACTCCGATCTGTTAAATTTGATAAGTATTTGTATTTTTTACATTTTTTTTTTAATACAATTATAGTAAAAGTAATTAAGTAATTGTTCTTCTTTGTTTTTTTTCAGAATAGTAAAATATACGATATAAATGAAAGATTCGTTTAATTGCAAAATACTTGATGTTAAACGTCATCACATTTGATATTATAAGAGAATAAATTTCTTTATAGTGAATAATCAATATGAGTCGCATCTGTAATTTTTTTCAACCAATTATGCATACCTCATAATAAATATATTTCGATAATCGTAAGAATTTAATATTTTTATTTGATTTTTTTTTTATTTTTGTTTTGTTTAATTTGTATCCGATTTAATCGTATTATTTGTTTAAATTTTTTTAGATTTTCTTGGTACAATTTTTATTTATCTTATTTATTCAACTATTCTTGTTTAATTATATTTTAACTTGGATATTTTATTGAAATTTATCATTTATTAAAAAGCGAAATTATTCATATCGTTTTGCAATTTCGAATAGTTGAAAGAAAAACTGCGAAAAATAGTGAAAATCGAGTTGTTTATGCCTCGCACCGGTAAATCTGACGCAAGTAATTTTTATAAAAAGGAACCTACATTCAGTTGAAACGTGTTTAGGTACTAAAGTAACTGGACCATGAAGGAACAAGACATTTCCCACATGCGATTTTTCCCTCATTATTATTCCAACTAAAAATTTTTCTCATCAAAAAATCGTTAACAGTGGCCAGTTCGAATCATGCAGATAAATCAAATTACTTGCGATAAATCATATTTTTTTAAGTAAAATTGTAAACAAGAACGTTAAAACAATCACTATATTGTTATTATTTAGTTAGTCTATTAATAATTCAGTTTATCTTTGAGGAAATCAATGAAATTATCAAGAAAATTAATTTTTTATGATACAAGACTCACGTTCACAGCATGGACGTGATATCAAGCGAATATTCTCGAGGAGAATACAAATTAATGACGAAGCACAAGAGGTTATGTTATACGCGATACGCTACGTTTTCTTCTGCCTCTGTCGAAAACTCGACACGTAAAAGAATGAATTAAGTGTTATGTAATTTTTTTCATGACAGTGTGAAATATATCGCGATTTATGACAGTAATTCTTGTGTCAGCGTTTATCAATGTAGCGTAAAATCCCGTTTACATCAGGCAACTTTTGATCGATCGATCGAAATAAACTCGAATAAATTCGCTGCTGCAAACTTATTTTCTAAAAAAATCAAAAATTTTCATTATATTAAGGTTTATTGAAAAGTAGATTATTATTTCGTTTATTATTAACATTTCGAATTTTATTACAATTAATTCTAGTTAAATTTAATCCTATTTGATTCTATAAGATTCATATTTTATTAGAAATAATATAAACAAATGTTTATAGGAAAGATATATTTAACTTGTTGTCTCGATACCGAATCGTGTAATTGTATAAAAATCTCAAATATCAAGAAACAAACTCAAAGAAGAAAGAAAAGAAAAGGTTGAAAATAGGAATTTACAACTGTGGATCCAATATTTTCTAAAGGCTCGAAGAATGAGAAATAAAAAATACGACGCATTTATCTCGAACACGTTGTTGCATTTCGATTAAATGCAAAAATGAAAAATAAATAGTAAATTTTCTATTTCCTGGTAATTTCAAACAATAAAAAGAAAAAGATGAAATCATATATTTTTACTATATAAAATATTTCAGTTTTAGCTTTACTTCAAATTTTCATCTAGTCCATATAACGTTTCATGGAAAAGTTGAGACTTGAGTGGATTCAATTAAAGATACAGGATCTTATTGCGTGGTCGCAGAATAATAAATCTGGAAAAGACGAGGAAGACGAGGAAGCAGGCAACGCCCTCGGGAAAAAGGATGGAAAAGGATGGAAGGGTGGAGGGGTGGCCTGATCGGAGACGACAACTACGCGGGGATGGAACCGAGCGGAGCGAACCGAGGGAGGATCGAGGGAGATCAAAATCGAAGAAAAAGAAGGGGGACACACTGTTGGCTTCAAATCAAGGACCAGACGAACCGGTCTACCCATCCGTGAGATGCGTCTAATTTTTTTCCCCGTTCTTCTACCTTTCTCTCTCTTTTTTTTTTCTTTCTTTTCCATTTCTTTTCCTCTCTTTCTCTCTCTGTCTCTGTCTTTCTTCTCTCTTTCTACTATACAGGGTGTTTCTAAGACAGGTGGTATAAACAGGAAGAGAGTGATTTTACGTATAAAGAATAATAAAGAACGTAAGAATAATAAATTACGTTCATGATTCCGCTTTTGAATAAATCAAGTTTGAATTCTCGAGAGATTATTCTACATAAGTAAAAGTAAATAAAAAGCGTCGATTTAAATTTTATTTTCGTTTTTTCAGAAAATCGAAATTCAACGTACACATATATAGATATAAGATCAAGAAATAATGAGAATAATTATTTAAAAATCATCTGATCGATTTCGAATCGAAATATGTACATTATATATGTCAATGAATCTTCAGTTTTCGAGATATTGCAAAAATATTTTTTATTCCGTTTGTGATATATAAAATTTTAACATGTTCGCGATGCTTTGAAAGATCGATATAAAAGTTGATACACAGAAATATTGATTAAAGCTTATTTATTAAATTATAAATAATTGAAGTTCGAGTTACACAATCTCGCTTATATCATCCATTCTCCAACATTCGTAGGTATACGTTAGCCTGAAGGCTTCCTTTTACGTGTCCTTTTCTTCCATAGTATCTTGCTTTTTCGTCAATGCTTCTTTTCATCTTACAAACATGCCTGCAGGTGCCTGGTTGGGGACTGTCCAGAAATCTTGCTCGTGAGCCCTGATTTCCTACCGACTACCTTGTCCACTTTCTCTTTCTCTCTCCCTCTCCCTCTCTCTCTCTCTCTCTCTCTCTCTCTCTCTTTTTCTCTCATCACGCAATCCTTTCGATCCGGCTATGGCAAAGGAGGTGTTAACTGGAAGGAATAATTCCGCATGTAAGTGTCGCTACTGTCGAACAGAGGGAGCCTGTGAATTGGCGTGGAAAGAATAACAAGGATTTTAATATAGGAAGTATTCAAGTATCGTTGAACGCCATCTTTTTGTCAAAACGTTTTCATTAAACGAAACGAAACGAAATACGGAACGATCAATTTTTTTTTTATAGAAATTACTTTTTATAGCTTGGAACGATTGTGCGATTAAAACTAATTATTTAATTGACATTTTTAATTTTTCATAGTGCAAAAAAAAAAAAAAGAAACATAAGAAATCTCCAAGTAAGGATATTTCAAGATTTCTAACAAAATATTAATTTCTGAATATTTTGAATATTAAGTTATTTTTATATTTTTATTCAAATTTTATTTCTTCTTTTCTTCTCCCTTTTCCCTTTAATATGAAATTTTATTTAGATTAGTTAAAATTGGATTTATTAGCAAATCTTGGTAAACTTTAATTTTTTTTTACGAAACATTCTATGATTGATGCTAAAATATTAATTATATTGTGTAAATTTA